CAGGAGGGGCGGCTGTTCCATTGCAGGCTCTAGGAGCACATTTCATCTTCGTGTGGCCAGTGTCATCTGACGTCTGCAACAGAGCCAGGCATAGCACATTTCTCCATTCCACTGAGATTTCTTTTCACCTAGAAATATTCCTTTGGTTTATCTGAGCAGCCTCCTGTCCTCCCCCTGCTCCCCTTGTTCATAGTTTTGCAGTTAGCTCCTCCAGCACGCAAGAGTCTAGTTTAGTCAGACCAAATCTTGGTTCCTCAGGGTGTGTGTGTGTGTGTGTGTGTGTGTGTGTGTGTGTGTGATGAGTACATGGACAGGTGCACACAAGCGTAGATAAGAATTGCGTGAGAGCATGCTTTTACAGACTGTGCCCATGTTTCCTCTCTGGAAGTTGTACTTTCTGAGCGTAGAAATCTGTTCTGGAATGAATGTAACTCATTGTGATCGTATCAACACAACCAAAACCTAAGAGCTGAGATGTATTCAGGGAGACCCACGAAAGCAAGAGCACCTGGTCAGTGTTGTGCCTGGGAACCGGGCTGTGTTTTCCATGCTCTCAAACAGCCTCTGCTGGAAGGTCAGGAAGAAAGTCTCACAGGGAAAGGGGCACTAGGGGCCTTTGTCTGGGCCCCCAGTCCCCTGGTGCTCTACAGCTCTGCCTCTCCTCTCTCAGTTTGTGGTGAACTGCAACTCCATACAGAGCATGCCCACCATCACCTTCGTCATCAGTGGGTCTCCTTTACCTGTGCCTCCCTCTACCTACGTCCTCAACGTACGTATGCACTCCAGGGGCCAAGGACATGGGATTGGATGAGCCCAAACAGCTGTTCTGTATCCTGGGGAGTCACCAGTGGCGGGGCTGAGGGTGAACAAGAAGCCTGAGACCCCGCAGGTGTCATGGAATATAAGGTGGGAACTTCCTGTGGGGAAAATCCTTTACATGCAACTGGTTATATCCTCATGTCCTTTGTCTCTTCAGAATAATGGCTACTGCACACTCGGGATTGAAGTCACTTACCTGCCTTCCCCCAATGGGCAGCCCCTGTGGATTCTGGGAGATGTCTTCCTCAGGGAATATTACACTGTCTATGACATGTCCGTCAACAGGGTGGGCTTTGCCCTCTCTACTTAGACTAGTAAGAGGCAGCTGTCTCTGCCCTCCCTGAAGGACTCTGGGATTGCCCTTCTGTCTGTCTTGGCTGACAGCAGCATTTTAGGGTAGCCTGACCTTTCTGTGAAGTAGAATCTTACTTCCAGCAAATAATAAATTAACACTCTCCAAATGACTTTGTTGTTCCTTCCAAATGTCTTCTTTGTGTTCTGCTTATAGTAGTTTATACCAAATTGAAAGTTAGCTCCAGCTCCTTGGGAAATCTGTGAATTGACTAATGGGCAAGAACAGATGAGCAGAGATCTCTGAGCGATGACCACCCAGACAGACGCTAAGGGCACAGTAGTACCTTCATGAGGAACTCTGGTGGAGGTGACCTGCCCTCCAGCACACATTCTTTCAACACATTCTTCTCTCCATTCTTGAGTGTTAGGGAGGAAGAAACCTTAGTGAGCATTTCAAACTAATGTTGAATCAAGCAAATCTGATCAGACAACACAGTAGATTTTGTTGTTCTTGTTTTTGTTTGTAGGTTAGCAACACAGCTTTAATGCATGTTGACATTATCTGATTTTTTCACAAACCCCTACTCACTACTGGTGCTCTCAGGCTGCTCACATATGCACTTTACCTGCCTGGGCCTGACTGCTTTTGAGTTTAGAAGCCCAGTCTTATTGTATAGTGGAAGAAAGTGAGGTGTGGACAGGTTAGTGTTAAAATCAGATCCAGATTCAATGTATTAATTATTTAATGTATTTAATTATTTTTATTGTGCTGCCACGTGATAAAGTCTGAGGTGTGCCAGCCAGGGAGGCATGCAATTATAAATGAGGCATGGCGTCGGCTCCCTAGGAATTTTCTATCAAGTATAGTTTATGGATCTAGAGCAGTTTTCTGATTGAAGGAAGACCAGCAGCTGAACTTGCATTTTCCACAGTAGGTTAGGAGCCATCATCTGCAGGGGTGGGTTCTTCCAATGTGGTAATTAATGCTGCCTTTGGAGTTAAAAACTGGTATTGCTCTGGGACACAGAATTGTTTCAAGAAATGTAATTAGAAAGATATATCTGGAGAGAAGGCTGCAAAGGATTCTCAGACTGGATGTGCATGGGTGGTGGTGGTGGTGGATGTAGGTGTACCTTTTCCCACATCATTGCATCGTTCCCCTCTACCAACACAGTGTGGTTGATCTTATGGAATTGAGTAATGTCTGGGCTTTGGTCAGTTCTTTTTCTTTCTTTTATGGGAGATACAGACTTTTTTTGGGGGGGGGGGCAATCCACAGACGCTTCCCACAGCTTGAGGTCTGGTTCACATTGTCTATCATTGTAGGATGGGGACAAGATTTATTAATATGTGTTTCCCACCTTCCAATATACCATCCTGTCCCCATCACACTAATAAAAATTTCGTCTATCTGATTCTTGTATCTTGGGTGATAGAGACTGGGGGACTGGGGAGATAAAAAAACAAAGAGCGAGAGAGTGTGTATGTGTGTGGAGAGAGGAGAGAATGCCCAGTGGGTCAAAAAAGGAAGAAGAAATGAGGTGTAATTGATATTTTTAAAAAGGGGAGAAGTTGGGGGGAAGAGAGAAGGGATAGAAGCTATGGGTGGGGGAGGTGAAAATAGAGACTTGGAATTTGGAGTTTCTTGGTGGAGGTGTTTCACACATAGGATGAAGATTTTGAGAAATGTTGCCTGTGCTTACAAATTAGAGACTGTTTAATGTTCTGCAAGAGATAGGAAGAGTGGAATTCTTTAAATGTTTTCAGCAGCTATGTTCTTTTTAAATGTGAATCCATTCAGAAAGTGGCCACATGGGACCCTAGCCTATATTTGGGTTATAATTGTAAAACAGGCTCTAGAGTTTTCCTTCCATTTAACAATTTCTCATGGCATCATCACTGGTGAAGTATCATTAATTTATTCATAAAATATTAATCAAAATCTTAATTTGTGTAAGTAAGATCTTCCCTGATCCCTGACATCTTTCTGCTTGTCCACTGCCTACCAGCTGGGCCCTACTCCAATGGAGGTAATTACTCCCCCTCCCTCCTGCCACGGCATTCTGTCCCTCTGACAGTGCATTACCGAGGGCACTGTATTTTATCCATTGCATACCTGCCTCCCCAACTCGATTATGATCTAGAGGGAAGAGACTATTTATTTTTCTCTTTAAATTCCCAGATCTGACATGTGTTGTGGTAACAAGTGCTTAGCAAATGCCTGCTATGCAACCAGATTCATGATAATACAAGTGAGAGAGCAAGGCTGTTACAGTGAATGGTGCCTGAGGGTGGCAGGAAAGGGGAAGGGATCTCAAAGGAAATCGTGTTAGATTTCTCTTTGAAGTGTGAGCAGGAACTCACTGGGTGGAGAGAGTGAGAAAAGGCATCTGGTGCAGAAGCTCGCATAAGGAGGGCACGGAGGCTGGAGACAGCTTGTGGAGTTGTTAGCGTGGCAGGAAATGTGAACCAGCTGGACGCAGGTACCTGGTGAGGAGAGCAGGAAGTGAGGCTGCCGAGGCCGGTGGTGGTCGCTGGGCAGGGCCTTGCTAAAAGTCTGGAGCTGATTCTCTAGTCAAGGGGACACGTACTGGGTTTTGGTGGAGGAGAGACCTAGGACGAGATATTTGAGGACCGGGCTCTGCTGGCAGAACCGCTGGCACCTCCACAGTCCCCAGCTGGGGCTCCCAGGTGCCACACCTGTAGAGGCTCAACCCCAGATAGATGCATAATCTTCGTTCCCGCTAGAGCTTCTGCTCTAGAACTCCGGCCATTTTCCTAGGCTCATAATCACGGCTGAAATATCTAAACAGAAATGGAAGACCTCATTATATCTGACTGGCTAACCCAGAATTAGCACCAGCCTACAGTAGTGAGCTCTTGGCTTCCTCCCTTCCTTAGTTTCACTCTGATCCTGTGCTTACAAGGCAAACCTCACCAGAAATGCCATAACTGCTCTCTGCACCATCCTAATGGAAGTTTGATCGACGCCTCCTTCTTGGCACCATTCACCATCAAAGACGTGTTCAGAAGAATATTATCTTTTTGAGAAGATTTGATGCGTAATGACTTCACTGAACTTGGCTGCAGCAGCTGGGGGCTCTGACAACAAAATAGGCTGCCTGGGGGCCTTGAGAATGGACAAATGCAGACCCAGAAGCAGGCCTTAGGTTGGATTTCTGCTACTCGCCTGTGCAGCTGCACCAGTTTCACAGACATAGGGAGGCCCCTGTAGGCTCAGATCTTATATAGAGAGCTGGGAGGTGGGGGAAGGGGGGAGCCCAAGGCCTTTGAGCTGGACTGCAGCAGAGATGGGACAGTCACTGAGCTGTTCAGTCACAGAGACCCTGGCCCTTGCCCCTCTTCTCTGTACCCGGGGGTCCTCTCCAGCCAGGAGCAGGGAGCAAAGATCCAGTCCCCAGCTTCAACACGCCAAGGTTTGGTTTTGTAAAGGGAAGTGGGGAATTTTTGATTCAATGAGTCTAATATCAGTCTGGGAAAGGCCACAAATCTGGACCTATCCACTCCATGGTAGGAACTCAGAAATTTGGAAGAGCTTTTAAATTATAAATGTTTTACCCTGCCTGTATACTTCCTCTGTATGTAGCATGGCCAAGTACAAACCCAAGGAAGGCATCTATTCCTTGATGTGTGGAGGCCAACAGCCCCTGTTCCCAGGGCTAGTAGTAGAATACAGAAGACTGGAACCTGGGAATGAGCATGATGACAGGGACCCATGAGTATGTGGGTAAGGTGGAGGCACCCCACTGAACACTCGGCGAAGATCCCAGGCCCGTGTACATATGCACACGACAAACCAGCACACGGAGATGGAGCCCTGCAGTGGTTTTTCTGCTCTCACATGGTACTTAGGAGGAGAGGGCACAGCAGTGAGGGGGGAAAGGTGACTCTGTCCTGAGTCCTGGGTCTGTGGCCGAGAGGACGCCCTGAAGGCCATCACAGCTCCTCAGTTGTAAAACAGGCTAAGGTAGGCCACGCGGTTCCGGTGCTTTCTGAACTCCTTGTCGGTGGACAGCTGCAAGGAAGGAGTATTGTCTACGTCAACTTTCGAATGAGAGCCCTCCGCTTCCGGTCTTCCCGGCTCGTCACCGCTGGTGGGGCCCAGCTGCAGCCCACCCCAGAGGAAACTCGTCTCAGGGGTGCTGTCAATTTCTGCATGTGCGGCTGCTCTCTTCCTCTGCTGTCATCATCCTAGCAAATGTGTTCTACTCGGCAAATCTCTGAGTAGAGCTGGCAAACTTCTCCAAAAAAAAGATATGTTTGATTCCTCGATGTTACTCATAGGTCTAGCTGCCATGATGTGGATACATTAGGCATTTAATACATTGTTGTAGAATTAATCCAAGTTTCCTCTAAAAAAACCCAAGCACCTCCTGAATCATGATAGCTCACATGGATTGAGAGTTTATTATGTTATAGATACTATGTTAGATGCTTTTCTACCTTGTCTAGATCTTTTCGACGGTCTATTATTATACCCATTTTATTTATTTTTGTTTTTAATTGCTTTATGATCCACTTGAAAGATATGAAAATGGAGGCTTAGAAAAATTGGCCGAGATCACACTGTCAGTAAATATGGGAGCTAGAATTTGAACCTAAGCAGTCTGTCCCTTGAATCCATGTTCTTACCAGACGCTCCACAGCCCCCCAATGATCTAATACTCCAGTGCTGTGATGGAAAGAGCCCTGGTTTAGGAGTTACATCTAGATTCAAGATGTCAACCTGAACAAGTCACTTAATCCATCAGAGCCTGGTTTTGCTCCTCGATCATCTAGGGATCCTTCTCCGGTCCCTACACCTGAAGAGTACTTGAAGATTAAGGAATAAAATGTGACTTTTGTTCAGTCATACACACCTTTAAAAATCTATTGAAACTGTGTAACTCTCCAAAATATAATATAATATGTGCATCTACTGTCCCGGGAGCAAGGACTTCCTATAGGTCATTCAGACACTTCTGGATAAGAACCCCTGATCCATAAGGAAGAACCAGAGAGAGGGCTCCACACCAGTCCAGTCTAATTACCTCAGCTTTTAGGGTTCTTTTCTGTAAGCATGGAACCTGAGCCCAGTCTGGAGATCCAAATTTCATTGGCCAGGTGATTTTCTTGGGGGGCTTCCTCTCTGGGTTGTATGTGCCAGGTCTAGAAATAAAAATACAAGGCATCACATAAAACGACTTCATGACCATATACAAACTCCATCATTACCACAGCCATCCCTGAATTGGCCTAACTCCTTGAGAAAAGGCAACAGCTCAATTAGCTTTTTTTTTCTTTTATAGTTTATTGTCAAGTTGGTTTCCATATAATACCCAGTGCTCATCCCAACAAGTGTCCTCCTCCATGCCAACCACCCCCTTCTCCTCTCCCCCACCCCCATCAGCCCTCAGTTCCAATTAGCTTTTTTAATGTGGGGCAAATGTGGGGTTTGCTTGCTTATTAATGTATTTCTGATTAGGTGTGAGTGTTAAAGGTATCTAGTCTTGACATCCAGTTGGGATTAACATTGACTCTAGTTTGAAAAATATTTCAACTATCCAGTTGAAAGCAACTCAGTATCCTTGGCTGAGAGATCAAAAGATCCCAGGGGTGGTGGGTGAGAAAAAGAGACTTACCACAGTCATGAATAAGTACTGCTCGTGATTTGAAACTGATAGAAAAAGTGTAATGATAATTTAAACAGCAATCTCAGGATGAGAAGGCAGATTCAGTTATATTTTGATAGACATGGCATTATTTTATCATTGCTTTTGGCTTTGGTGTAGACTCTATGCTGTGTTAGAAATGGCATTTAGGATGGACATAGGGGCCAATAGTCAACATTTTCACTTCCTTCATGCAGCCTTGAGGAAGTTCCACCCACTCGCTGATCCTTGGATTTCTCATGAGCCAGACAAAGACCTTGACCCTTTGCCCCACAGTGCACACATGCCAAATGGCTTCCTGAAACACTTGGTCTACAAGGGCCCTGTGCTCAGCCCTGGCCTTCCTCCTGCATTCAATTCCTCCTTGCTCAGCACACCCTCACCACACCAGCCTCTCTCTTCATTCCGCCCACCAGTCCCTCCCCAGCTTACTGCTCCTGCTGCCTGGGAAGCCTTGGGCCCAGATCTTCACAGGGCTGGCACCATCTTGTCACTTGGACTTGAGACCACGGCTCCTCTCCCCTAAAGACCTTTCTGGACATCCTTGCCAAAGCAGCGCCATCCATCCAGTCACCACCACCCTGGTTACTGTCTTCACAGCATATCACCAGGTCACCATGCTGCCTGGTGTACCCGTGACAGTCCTAGCTGATGGCTACTGTTTTGGTGCAATTAACACGTTCACTCTCAGAAGGGTCACTGTCTGACTACTCAAATGTATGGTAACCGTCCTAATTACCACCGATGTTTTCACGTTTATTTATTTCTCATCTGGCTGGACTGTAGAGGGTAGGGTCCAAGGAATGAGGAGCCTTGTGTGATGGGTTTAATGCAAAATCTCTGGAACCCTTAAAATTGCCTGGCACATTCATAAATACTGACTGAATGAACCACTGTGAATCAGAATTCTATATGCCAGAGATCTGGAAGGTAAGGGGTTGGCTCCTTAAAGATGGATGGGTGTTTTCTTATATTCTTATTTCTTTCTTATTTAGCTGGCGTGGTTTGGATGGAGCCTCTCCTGTGTAGGTCCTTTCCTACTGCTGTTTGTTGAAGTGCTCTAGGAAAGAGGAGACATACCCAGGATAATAAGTGTCCTTTGAGTATGTCCTGAATCGAGGCAACAAGGTATTAAATGGAGCAAAATTTTGTTTGTGTCTATGCTCCTGAAGATCTGTAGACTGGTACATGCCAGGGTAAAGCATCACATCCTGTTTTTAGAAAAAGATAAACATGTTAGAGTGATGTGTGTGTATGTGTGTGTGTATACACACACACATACACACACACACACACACACACACATAAAGCCTCCAATTAAAGAAAACATACACATCATCTTTCTGTTAATGTATCACTATAGTTTCACTACCACACCTGTAGATTTAAGCCTACAGTAGGGAGAAAATCAAGATAGGGTTTCAGCTACCTAAAGACACATATGCTGAGGCTCTAGAAAGACACCTATAGGAGGAAAAAGACCAAGGTGACTCATTGCACCTGCTGTGCCTGTCATCCCACCCAGAGATTTTTTTAGATCTAGTATCCCTCTCTTGGAGCTTGATTGTCAGAAAAATGTCCAACAACAGATTAGCATCCTATATTGAAGACATTTAGATTTGTAATCCAATCACACAAAAGGGCTAAAAAGTAGGAATTTGGTTTTTTTCTTACAAGATAATAGGATGCATATAAACAAAGCTTCTGTAACGTCATCTGTATCAGCCCTGAAGCCCTGTCTTGGCACCATTTCTTTCTAGAATTGTTTTCTACTCTCCCAGGACTCACACACATTTGAGATGCTTACACCCAAGCTTTTCAGATATACTTCTTCATAGCTTTGGTGTAAATATTCTTCTTGAATCGCAGGGGATATTTTTTGGGTAACCCCCGGTTCTCTCCGCTTTGCTCCCGGATGCAAATACATCCAGCAACATGGGTCACACTAAAATCAAAGCACATTCAGTCATTTCTAACCTTGTTGATTGTCTTAAACCTCACAGCTGTCCTGGCACCAAAAGTATATCCTTTTATACTGGTTGGGATCTTAGAGAGGTTGTATGCCAATCCATACATCTTCAGGTAGTGTATTAAAAAAAGAAAGGAAACAATGAATATTAGAGTCATCAAAACAGAGTGAACTTAAAACGTTCTTATCTGAATCTTCTCTCCAAATTTGCTCTTTTTTGACTCCTGTGAGTGAGGACTATAGAAACAATGATATAAATTAAGGCAGACACCTCTGCAAAGAAATGTGGCTGGCTAGAGAGAGTAAAGGACTTGCGCATTCCAGCGAATCCAGTCCTGTGAGCCCCACAGAGCTGAATTTGCGCTAATTCCACCCTCGGTCTGATTCCATTATTTCACGAACTGACCTAGCAGCGCCGCAAGCTATCATAGTTGGACTAATGGGAGGCATTGGTTCAGAGGCATTTGGAGGTGGGAATGGAGTGAGTACTACATGGCAGACTATATGAAGAAAGGCTTGTGGTTGGTGGGTGTTGGTAGTGGGAACAAGGGTCCTTTAATTGCGACATTGGATCTGACAGCGTGCTGTAGCCGATGAGAGTACCTTCTCATGTGGCCATCTCAAAGATCACATGGGCTTTTCTTCCACGGAACCTGAGTATCCTCAGATAGGGAACTGAGACCCACGCAAGGGGAGGTGAATACTCACATCTTCTGCTATGTAACGCCCGGGCCCTCTGTGGGGCGCTCCTCGAAGAGGGAGAAACTTGTTCCCCAACAAGTTTGGGGGGTGGTGTTGAGGAAAGAGCTTCCTCTGTTGACATGTTCCAAAGGAGTAGTTAACAAGCGTATCTGAAGATCAAGAAAGGGGAGAAACTCCACATGAGGAAGGCCCCTGGGTCTAAGTGGGCGCTTGGGAGGCACGTGAAGTGTGTGGGGAGGCCGAGACCAGGACTGAGAACAAAAACCCAGACCGAACCCCGTGGAGGGGAAGAACTGTATCCCCTCGCCCGGCAGGCTCCCCACTCTTCCCTCCCGCCCTCAACCCTTGACTCCTCCATCGGCCCCGCGCACCCGGTTTGCCGAAGCACATCCCGTGTGCTACCGGGAAAGCATTTATGTACGGCGTTGCTAAGGGAACGCGGGGGGCGCCGGGAATGCAAGGGGAGTGGCTCTGCGCGCGCCTGCGCAGCTGGGCGGGACCCTCCCTGGCGAGACCCTCCCCCGCCTTGCCCTTCCCCGCGCACCTCTGGGTCCCAGAGCAGTGGGCACTCTGCGTTGGGCGCGATTGGAGGGTTTGTAGGACTTGTGGCAGCAGGCGTTGTGCGGTGAGGTATTGAGAGGAACGTGCTGCTGAAGAGGGCTCCCAGGGCAATGCCTACCGCAGGGGAATGGAGGACTAAATGGAGTGTAGCCTAGACAATTCCCTATTAGGCCCCTCTGAGACCCATTTTTTCCCCCTCAGGTTGCCCCCTTCGACCTCTAAGCGGGGCACGCACGAAGCTTTAAAAGGGTTGGCAGCCTTGAGTGAAGCAGTGGAATTGCAGAGGAATCACAGAAGTGCCTAATGGTTTTAAAATCTTGGGCAGTCACTTCCGTGTTTAAGTCCCCGGTTTCTCATGTCCAAATAGGGGGTACTAATTCTTCTTTATAGGGCTGATGGCAGGCTTGGGAAAACAAGATGAAAATAATCAGGTCCTGGTACTTGGTAGGTGACATTGCAAGAGGTTATGAAGATAGTTTCCAGCCCTCTCATGAGCGTTCCCTTCCCAACACAAGAAGAAGCGTCAGGGCGCGTGTTGCCTTTACCTTTGTCCTGGTTATTAACACTAATCTGTTTTCTCTTGAGTTTTGGATAGCTTTAGGAGTTCTCATATGGGGCTGGTCCGTGCTACCCTTAGCCTCTAAAGATGACCCTGGGACCCACACATGTCCCAGGCTAGCACTGTCTGCAGGGATGATTTTATACATCTAATGCAGGGTTTCTTGGAAACTTGTGGAAGCATTTTGCTTGTTAAAAATTACTGCGGGCCTCTCCTGGTCACTGGGCCAGAGAGGATGGACACCTCTGCAGTGCATTGCCCAGTCACACAGTGAATTGTCACATGTCCTACATAATATTCAGATATCTTGCTAGACTTTACAGAAATAATTGGTTGTGCCTGACACATATAATAGCACTAAGAATTTTATTTTACAAGTAATTGTGCAGAAAGCCCAGTAATAGAGAAGGTTGTGTGAGAAACAAAGGTTATAAATGGAATAAAGATATGATCTCAAAATTATTGTATAATTTACTCTAAGCATTCTGTCTACTAGAAATATAATTGCAGTAACACTGATGATAAATAAAATGTAAAAATATTGATATTGATTTGATCATTTTGCTTTCATTAATATTTTAGGTAATATTAATATTTAAAAACAATTTTTTATGTTTATTTGTTTTTGAGAGAGAAAAAGAGTGTGAGCAGGAGGGGCAGAGAGTGAAAGGGAGACACAGAATCCGAAGGAGGCTCCAGGCTCTGAGCTGTCAGCCCGATGCGGGGCTCAAACCCACAAACCATGAGATATGACCTAAGCTGAAGCTGGACACTCAACCAACTGAACCACCTGGGCACCCATCAGGTAGTTTTAAAATTTTTAGGTACTCACAGTATTTTTGAAATTAGTGTTTACATTATTGGTGACATGAAACGTGTCTTGCAAAGTACTTTGATATTATAGCTCACAGTTTCCTTACTGGAGACTCGGTTGCTTCAGACTAATCCTCCAGCTGAGAAGAGGTAGAAGAGCTGGACTAAATAAAATATATATATTTGGAGACATCTGAGACACACGAAGGAAGACAGAATATAGAGGGCCAAGATTGCAGAGAGAAGAGGAAGTCCAAAATGGTGAGCCACAGTTAGTTCCAATGTTCTCTCTTAACATTGGCCAATCAAAGAGTGGTTGAGAAGCACAGGGTTTGAGTGCAAATTTGGACATGTGGGTCTCTGATGGGGACCAAAAATTAGGTTGGCCATGGAGGATGGGAGACTGGAAAACACCCTGGGCTTTTAGTTGGGACCGTCTAGAGACAAACAGGAATAAGGGTAAACAAGAAATAGACCAGCTCTCAAAAAATCCTGAAATCCAGCTTCGTATCCATATAGTCTCCAAAGTGCTTTAAGGTGATCTGCTTGCACCTTTACTGCATACCAGGAAATAAACAAATAATCTCTGAATAAAAATCATCCAAATCTTCAACTAAAGTTTATGATTTTTCATGCAAAATGTTTGGCATTCAACATAAATCAGCCTCTCATACAAAAAAAAAAAAAAGTAGATATAAATCCAATAGAAATCCAGAGATTGGAGTTCTCAAACACGGACTTTATAATTTTTTTAAGGTTTTATTTATTTTTAGGAGAGAGAGAGAGAGAGACAGCGTGAGCAGGGGAGGGTCAGAGAGAGAGGGAGTCACTGACTGAAACAGGCTCCAGGCTCTGAGCTGGCAGTCAGCACAAAGCCCAACGCGGGGCTCGAACCCACGAATCGCGAGATCCACGAACCGCGAGATCATGACCTAAGCTAAAGTCGGACGCTTAACTGACTAAGCCACCCAGGCGCCCCTCAAACATGGACTTTAAAGTAACTGTACCAGGCTGAGATTTTGGAGGAAGCCTCCAGACTGCAGGATGAACATAGGAAGTAAGAGAAAGTAAGGTAAGAGGCTAAAAGAAAAAGTTGATCAGACCCTAAAAACAAGGTCAGTAAAGATCTCTTTCTCAAGGAAGAGAAATTTCCCCCATCAATCTTCCTGTTCATGTTACTAACATAACACACAATTGGGTTGATCCGATTGGTGCAAATTTATCAACATTTCATTATTGACAGTCTAAACACAGCACAATTAAAGATGATTGTCTAAGGGCACCTGGGTGGCTTAGTTGGTTGAGCATTTGATTCTTGATTTTAGCTCAGGGCATGGTCCCAGGATCATAGGATTAAGCCCCACATTGGGCTTCACGCTGAACATGGAGCTTGCTTGAGATTCTCCTTCTCTCTCTCTCTCTATCCCTCACTCTGCTCCTCTCCCCGCTCTCTCTCTGTCTAAAAATAAATAAATAAATAACAAATAAATACATGAATGAATGAATGAAGATTACTGTCTATATGCTACATGTATCTCGCATATAAGCAATTGTGCAATGATAAACTTGAGAAGTTAAGGTAGAACTTCAGGCAGCTCTAAGAATTATCAAGGATTCAATAATCAAGCGCGAAGGAACCTCTGCTGGTGATTATTTAATACGATAGAATATTTAGAGGAAGTTTTGTATTGTGGCCACTTTTGATGAAGACTAAGTGAAATATTCAGCAGTTCCCATTATATACAGGTCTAACTAACATCAAGAGGATGCCTGATGTTTATGCAGATTGTTATAGTTTTATGAGATGGTTTATCTGCTTTCCTTATTTGACTATGTATGAGGCCATTATAAGCATTATTTTTCTGGGAAACCACCTGCTCTGCTGCAGAGGTCTAATTGAGTGGGATAAATACATTTGAGTCTTGGTATAATATTTTATTTTTATTTTTTTTTCGTATAATATTTTAAATAGATTTTTGTCTCATTTAAAAATTTATTGAATGAAGTAATAAATCAGTTCATCAAAGGGGCTAAAGCTGATTATATTCAAGAAATTAAATAATAAGTTGGAGAACTTTATTTTATTTTTTTAAATGTTTATTTCTTTATTTTGAGACAGAAAGAAAGCAAGTGGGGGAAGGGAAGAGAGAGAGGGAGAGAGGGAGGGAATCCCGAGCAGGCTCTGCACTGTCAGTGCAGAGCTGGCCACAGGGCTCAATCTTATGGATCGTGAGATCCATACCTGAGCCGATATCAGGAGTCAGAAGCATAACCAAGTAAGCCACCCAGGCGTCCTAGAGAATTTTAGAAGCAATAAAAGGAAATCAGATAAAAATTGTAGAAATAAAAAGTACCATCTCTGAAAGTACGAATTCAATGCATGAGTTTAAAAGCAGATTATAGGGGCGCCTGGGTGGCTTAGTCGGTTAAGCGTCCGACTTTCGCTTAGGTCATGATGTCGCGGTTCATGGGTTCGAGCCCCGCGTCGGGCTCTGTGTTGACTGCCAGCTCAGAGCCTGGAGCCTGTTTCAGAGTCTGTGACTCCCTCTCTGACCCTCCCCTGCTCACGCTGTCTCTCTCTCTCCTAAAAATAAATAAAAATATTTAAAAAAAAAGCAGATTATAAAAGCTGAAAAAAAGAATGAAAGAAATAGGAAAATGAATCAGAAAAACATATTCAGACTTGAAGCGTGGAGGTGGGTAGGGACAGAAAATACAGAAAAAAAGTGTAAGAGAAAGATGAGAAACAATGAAAAATTTCATTTGCATGCAGATTTTTTACAGTGTAATGCTGTAAATGTATCTTTTCTTCCTTATGATTTCCTTAATAGTGCTTTATATTCTCTGGCTTACTTTATGGTAAGAATACATTGTATGATACATATAACATATAAAATACATGTTAATCAGCTCTTTATATTATTTGTAGGGCTTCTAGTCAACAGCAAGCTGTCAGTTACATTTTTGGGGAGTCAAAAGTTATATGTGGGTTTTCGGCTGTGCAGGGGGTGATCACTATTAACCTTATGTGTTCAAAGGTCAGCTGGATGTATACATATATATATGGAGAGAAAAAGAGAAGGTGGACATGATAGAGAGAGAGAACATTTAACAATTGAAGAACTGAGGTAAAGAGGTAAGAGAATTCTTTGCACTGTCTTTGGAACTTTTCTTTAAGTTTGAAACTGTTTCAAAATAATACTTTTTTCAAAAGATACCATTAGAAAGTGAGAAATTAAGCCAAGATATGGAGGGAGATAAAAGCACAAAAGCATCGAGACCTGCAGTGTCCATCCAACACCGTAGCCACTACCCGTGTTAATTAGCACTTGAAATGCAGTTAATTAATTAATTTACTTTTTCCCAAACACAATTGCTGATTTTTTATTACAATTCAGAGAGCAAAGCTATTAATGAGGAATTTGATTCTTTTTTCTTTTTAATGTTTTATTTTTTTATTTATTTCTAGGAGAGAGAGAGAGAGAGAGACAGCGT